GGGGGTGGTCCATACAATTTTTTCTTTTGAAACATCTGAATTAGTCTCATGTTAACACTGTTTACAGATCTGAAAGATCTGTTAAAGCAGTCTTCCATGAAAGATGGAGTCTGCCCCAGCTCCCAGGACAGTGATGAACTTGCTGGTCCTCCATCCAGGTCCGGATACCTGGGTTTCAGAAATGTGGCTCTGATTATTCACACTACACTTACTGTGCTTTTTTCTCTTAACACTAAGTATAAGGCTCTAGATCATTCTTTATCTTATTGTTTGGGTCTTGTGATAATTTTAGTAAAACATAATAAAGTTATTTATGGTGATTTCTGGGGAAAAAATAGCTGTTACAATATAACCAGAAAAACCAGGATTGTGAACAAGCATTAAGGTATACTGAGGACAATGGTGAATGTATGAAGTTCACGTGTATTTAGCAAAAGGTTTTATACAAAAGGATCCTTTCCCTTCTCTCCCCTCAGTCCCTGAATGGGAAGTACATCTCACGAATATCATCTCATGCAGAAAAGAGAATTGAACCAATAATCGCATGAAAATAGAAAAATTACATGAAGGAAAACATCCAGCCTCCCGAGCACCAGGGTGATTTCTTAAGCAAACCCAAACCCACTGCTTTAAAAAGCTTAGGTTTGCTGTCATTTTTATTTCCTGTCAGGGATGCTTCGGTTTCGGCTATAAATAGACCGCGGCAGCAGAGAGAGTGGCTTTTTAATTAGGTCATTACCGAGTCTGCATGACTTATTTTCTTTTGAGTCTTTGCCATTTTTAACTTCAGATTTGGTCTCTTTGTGATGATGATGCAGCATGACAGACTCATACCGGGCTTCCAAAGAGATCCCCTCCCCAACCCCGCTCGCCCCAGCCCCGCACACGCGCTGCGTCCCTCCCGCTCCGTCTCTCTCGCTCTCGCTCTCTGTCTCTCTGTCTCTGTCTGTCTGTCTGTCTCTCTCTCTCGCTGGCTCTCCTTCTCTCTTGCTCTGTCAAAACCTCTTGCAAAGCGGAGGCAGTGAGGAGCTTCCACCATATTTAGACCAGAAATTGGGTCCCACCCCTCCCTGGTCAATCTCCCTCCTGGGGCTAAGTATTCCAACCAGAGCTGGGCTGATGTCTGGCTCTCCTGTGACTATTCACCTTCTGTCCTGAACTTTGTGACTGATCATGAGGGACTGAGGGACTGTTGAATGGAGCTATCTACCTAAGAGTAAAACACTGATAGCAACTAAGTGAACCAACAGTTTTCCTATCTTCCTTTTTTTTTTTTTAATTTCTTGTTTTGGAGGGGAGGTAATTAGGTATTCAAAATTTATTTATTATTATTATTTTTTAATGGAGGGACTAGGGATTGAACCCAGGATCTTGTGCATGTTAGGCATGTGCTCTACCACTGAGCTCTACCCTCTCCCCTCGTATTTTTTAAACTTTATTTTTTATTGAAGTATAGTTGATGTACAGCAAAGTGATTCAGTTACACATGTACATACTTTTTTTTTCAGATTATTTTCCATTATATGTTATTACAAGAAACTGGATATAGTTCCGTGTGCTATATAGTAGGTCTTTTTAAATCTATTTTATATATAGTAATGTGTCTCTTTAAATCCCAAATTTCTAATATATCCCTCCCTGCCCTTTTCCCTTTGGTAACCATAGTTTGTTTTCTATATCTGAGTCAATTTTTGGTTTGTAAATACAATTTGTATCATTTTTTTAAAGTTCACATATAAATCATATCATATAATATTTGTCTTTCTCTGTCTGACTTACTTAATATGATCATCCCTAGGTCCATCCATCTGCTGCAAATGGCATTATTTCACTCTTTTTTATGGCTCAGTCATATTCCATTGTATAAATATACCACAACTTCTGTATCCAGTCACCTGTTGATGGACATTTAGGTTGCTTCTGTGTCTTGACGGTTGTAAATAGTGCTGCTATAAACTTCGGGGTGCATGTGTCTTTTCGAATTACAGTTTTCCCCAGGTATATGCCCAGGAGTGGGATTACTTCCCATCTTCCTTGTTAAACCTAACTCTGTAATGCCTTTTCCTAGCTTCTGAAAAAATCATGAAAATGGAAAAGAGCCTTTCTAGTCAATATCCTTTCACTCTATGTGAATTTTGAGACACTGGGAAGGATCTTATGTCTCCAAATTCACACTGGCCTACCCTGTCATAGGCACATGATGATACTTTAGTAAAGGGCAAAAGCCTTCAGTCCAGGGGTGGCACCACTGGTGGCTTTACAGGCTTTGGCAATCTCATCATTCTATCAACACCCTCTAAAAGATGCACCAAAAGTCATTCCAAATATCCACACTGTCTAAGTGAGAGCTCGGAGGGCAGTGGAACTTCACAGGTCACATCCTCTCCCCCAGCCCTCCGCAGCCCCAGCCAGCCAGACCACCCCCTGCACCTGTCCCAGGGTCATTGCTCCGTGGCGTTGCATTATTGAGCCCAGACCTGCTTCCTGGTCTGGAAGCACGCTGGAAAAGGCCAGCTGCTGTCCTCATAACTCATTGACTTAGCAGGAGAATCTGACCTGAACCCGATCTCCTGGTGGCAGACCTGACCTCGTCTGATGTCAGGCTATTTCAGCCTGTGGTATTTATCTGCTGTCGGACAGGTGGCAGCATCACTTTCTAGATTGGGAGCTACTCGAGGCTTCCTGGCACTGTGTTTCTTAATCTTTGCACCTCTGTTGCTAGCACTGGACCGGCACATCACCAAACACCCTATTTACAGAGTTTAATTGAATCTTTATGCCTGAACACTTTGGAAGTAAGCAAGTGATAGCATGTTGAACAGCCTTTCAGAATAAAAAGTCATGGGTCATTCATTCATTCATTCAGTCAATCCTTCATTCAACTAACATTTATTGAGGCCCATCTGTGTTTCAGGCTTTGGCCACATGTCAGGGTTATCAGATGGGTAATAGGCAGGTCCTGTCCTTGTTAAGTTCACAGCCAAGTAAAGACAGATTAAGTACACTCAGATTTTAATGCAGTGTGATAAGAGTGCTGATAACGATGTATACGTCACAGGGGCACAGAGGTCAGGCATCTAACCCTGTGTGACAAGATCAGATTTGCTTTGCAGAAAGATCACTCTCAACACTAAAGACAATATTGCTTGAACATAGAGTAATTACCGCAACACAGAGTGCAGGATTGAGGTCCCGGTGGGGTCCTGGCTTTAAGTAACTGAAAGAGACAGCCCTTAAGAGAGAAAATCAGAGCTAAAAATGACCTGAGTTTTATATAAAATCAAAGATGTTACTCTATGATGATATATGGGTTCTGTCTATTTTCCACCAAAATGGCGCAATTTCCTCCCCCTAAGAAATCTGCCCAAGATAGCAGGAGGCAATGTTGTTGCTTCTTTCCATCTTGTTAGAGGTCTTGGGTCCATAAAGTGTAGTGTCCCCTGAATTCCCTGTGGAGGGGCTTTTTCAGGCAACAAAAGGAGAAATTCCACTCTTAATCTCCATCAAGTGCTAAGTGGGAATCTGGGACTGTAGGACTGAATGCTCTTGAAGAGGGGACATGCACGTTCCAGCGTCAGTGGTGGGTGTGTCTGCAGGGCATTTGAAGACCGAGATCTTCTTTTGCTCCCAGAAAATGATGATGAGAATCAGGTTATGCTTTGCCCACCTCAGTGGAGAGCTTCCAGCTCCAGACAGCCTTCCCTTTTGTGTCCTTACGTAGCCTGCTGCACCACCCTAATTCAAATGGGGTGACAAGGCAGCAGCCAGATGGGTGAAGGGCTGTGAGGATACAGGAGGTGTTGGAGTACTTCCTGCCTAAAAATGATGTTTTCGTTTCTAAAACCCACACTTCCCCTCCTGGCCGCAGCCCCAAGACTCAAACGAGGGCTGTAATAATGACTAATGTGCTTCCTTTAACGTATTCGCTCACAAGTCAGGTCATTTCTGCATCAGTATCATAAACCTTGATGCTTCTGTGGCCACTTACATGACTAGTCAGAAAAGCAGCTTTTCCCAGGGGATAAACTCTCCTAGATATAGGTAAGAAATCCTAGGCGTGCTCATAGGAGTCTGCAGCTGCTTGATGAGGGGTGGAGGTGGGGGAACTTGGACCTGCCCTATGGCCATCAGAGCAGCCACTCCAAGGGAGCGTCCAGCGCCTGCTGATCTCAGCCTCATGAGTCCCACGGCTGCCTGTCCTGTAGGGGGCCTCCGGCCTGTGGTCCCTCTAGCCAGTGCAGCAGGACATCTGCCATCCCCACAGGTGCGGCTGCACGGAGCTGGCTGGCCTTGGTGCAGACCCCTGTCAATTTGCCAAAGTTAACAATCAACCGATCAGATGAGAGGTGGCTTCCTTTCTGGGTCACACTCTATATCGGGGTTCCTATCCTCAGCAAAAGGAATCCTCCTCCCAAGGTATCTTGATTCCTTAGATTCACTCTAAAGCCATTTCCCAAGGGGAGCCCGCGACCCTGGGATGGGTCGGGATGGGTCTGTTGGATGTGTTCCAGTACTGTGCTTAGAACCAAGCCTTCCTTGATCCTCTGGCTCATTAAAGCCCCTCTGTTTTGTCTCCTAAGCCACCTAGCACCTCACTTTCTGCAACCGTACTACTAAAATGCTTCCTAGACTCTTGGATCGTAGTTCTGATTTCTGTTAGTCTTTTCCCATATGCTGAGTCCCTTCTCAGGAGCTCCATTGCCTGAGAGCTGCGAGGGATCCTGTGCAAGGACCTCTGTTCCACGGCCTTAGTCCAGACCCTGCTTAGGTCATCAGCTATGTTATAACAGACTGACAGCTCAGTGGTGGGCTTCTGCTTCTGGGGAAAGAAAGTACACGTACTGTACCCTATTCCTCCCATTAAGGGCAGCTCAAAGCCCTGGACATTAGGTATAAAATGGAGAAAAGGGAATCCTCCTACACTGTTGGTGGGAATGTAGTTTGGTGCAGACATTTTGGAAAACACTATGGAGATTCCTCAAAAAACTAAAAACAAACTTACCATATGATCCAGCAATCTCACTCCTGGACATATATCTGGAGGGAACTCTAATTCAAAAAGGTACATGCACTGTCAGTGTTCACAGCAGCACTGTTTACAGTAGCCAAGACATGGAAACAACCTAAATGTTCATTAACAGATGACTGGATAAAGAAGTTGTGGTATCTTTATACAATGGAATACTACTCAGCCATAAAAAAGAATGAAATAATGCCATTTGCAGCAACATGGATGGACCTGGAGATTGTCATTCTAAGTGAAGTAAGTTAGACAGAGAAAGACAAATATCATATGATATCACTTATATGTGGAATCTTAAAAAAAAGACACAAATGAACTTGACAAAACAGAAACAGACTCACAGACATAGAAAATAAACTTATGGATACCAGTGGGTAAAAGGGGTGGGAAGTGATAAATTGGAAGTTTGAGATTTGCAGATACTAACTGCTATACATAAAACAGATAAACAAGAAGTTTCTACTATATAGAACAGGGAAGTATATTCAATATTCTTGAAAAAGAATATGAAAAGGAATATGTGTATGTATATGTATGACTGAAACACTATGCTATACATCAGAAATTGTAAACTGACTATACTTCAATTAAAAAAAAAAGAAAATGGGGAAAAAGATAGGTACGCAAAAAGAAAAATCACAAAACTGATATTGATACTATCTCTCCCCCCTGCCCAAAAGAGGAAAAGCTAATTAAAGCAAATAGCAAACAAAACAAAGCAAAAAAACCTCTTTGGAACTTCCACTAATGTTGTGGCATGAAATTTTTCAACAAGCCTTCCCACAAAAATTTTTATAAAAATTGTAAAAGAAAAAATTTTTAACCATCTGAAGGCACTGGAAATTGACCCAAATAGATAGAAACTGCAGGGAAATTTTACTCTTAAAAGATGATTGTAAGAGTAAGATTAGCAAGTTTATTCTGCCTTATTGTGCCTGGGAGCACTTTTCATCCCAAACCCCAAATCCTACTCTAGAAAATTACAGCTTTACCAGCAAAAAGTGGCAGAAGATAGAGTTTAGACTATCTTAAATCTGGAAAGTTTCGAAGGAATGAACCCCAAAATATGAGTATAAACTTTGCCCAAATCCCTGGCTAACTGCTAAACTATGAGGGATGCGGGGGGCTGGGGGAGTCTAAGGATTTCCTTAGACTGGCAGAAAGGCAGAAACAAGAGAAAAATCTACATTTGAAGACAGAGCTGCACCAGATAAAACTTGTATTTGCCGTTCCTTTGACTCTGCATATTCCGCAACTTGTGTTCAGCTTAGGCAGCAAAATGCTGAAGCCTTTCTGGCCTGAAGAGTCAGAGGCTAGGACTGAGGATTGCAGAGCACCTGGAAGTTCAGTGGGAAATTCTGGAAGCAAAATAACCACAGAGAGGGTAGGTCACTGAAGATGAGTATAAATTCTACCCAAATCCTTGGCTGACTGCTAACCCATGCATAAGTAAGAGAGTGCCGAAAAGGCTCAAGGACATAGAAGGCAGCCGTGAGGGAGGAAAGTGTTCTTGAAAGCCAGAACTCCATCAGGCACTCCTTTGCTGCGCTTTGACTGTATGTGTTTCCAACTCATGCGCAGCTCCTGCGACACAAAGTCAAAGTTGCCATAATGGCCCGTGGTGTCAGAGAACAGAGCTGGGGCTGGCAGACCAGCTGGAAGCAAGGAAACCTCGGGGAGAACAGAACCCTAAATCTGAGTGTAGACTCCTTCTGGACTTTTGGCTGACTTCTTAACCACCTAGGTGGAGAACGCCCCCCGGTGCAAGGCTAGAAGAGCAGCAGCTTGAAGCTGAAAAAGCTGAGCAGAGACACCAGCTGCTCCATGTCATAAGGAAGACAAAGTCCACAGTTAGAACTCAGACAAGGCAACTGCTGAACAGAACAAAATCCAATAGTCATCAGATGACTGTTTTTTGTGTCCTGCAATTTTTCTCAATTCATTTATTAATTTAACAGTTGTGTGTGAGTGTTTGTGTGTGTAATCTTTAAGGTTTTCTATGTATGAGACCATATCATCTGTTAACAGAAATAATTTTACTTCTTCCTTTCCAGTTCAGATGTCTTTTGTTTATTATTCTTGCCTAGTTGCTCAGTCTAGGACTTCCAGTATTGTCCAGCACTGTGTCAAATAGAAGTGGTGAATGTGGGTAGCACTGTCGTGTTCTTAAAGGAAAAGCTTTCAGTCTTTCATTATTGAGTATGAAGTTAGCTGTGGGCTTTTCACACATGACCTTTATTATGTTGAGTTAGTTCCCTTCTGTTCCTGGTTTGTTGAGTGTTTTTATCACGAAGGGTGTTGAATTTTGTCAAATGTTTTTTTCTGCCTCAATTGAGATGATCATGTGTTTTTCCCCCTTCTTTCTGTTAATGTGGTGTATTACACTGATTAACTTTTGTATACTGAACTAGTCCTTGCATTCCGGGAATAAATCCCATTTGGTCATGGGGTAGAATCCTTTAATGTGTTGTTGAATTCTGTTTGTTAGTATTTTGTTGAGAAACTGCCCCAGATTTTATGGATGAGGAAATTAAACTGAAAAGGTGAGACAATTCCTCTACAGGTGCTTAGAGTTGGGGTTCAAACCTAAGCTTGTTTGATTCCAGAATCCTTGCCATGTTCACTACACCAGACCGCCTCGTAGTACTCTACAGCCAGGCCAAGAAGGGAAAATGTGGACACACTACTTATATAAAATAGATAAACAACAAGGTCCTACAGTATAGCACAGGGGACTGTTTTCAATATCTTGTAGTAACCTACAAGGGAAAGAATCTGGAAAAGAATATATACATATATACCTGAATCACTATGCTGTACACCTGAAACTAACTCAACATGTAAGTCAACTATACATCAATTAAAAAAAAAAAGAAGAAGAAGGGAAAAATGTGGAAATGTGGGCTTCCAGACACTAGCTCTGTGACTTTACAAAAGAAAGATTTAATCATTTCTGTAAAATAAGGACTGAGATGCCCATTCTGCAGAGTAGGTGGTAATGTTTAGATAAGGTAAGAGATTAACACCCCTGGAGCACCCTGAGCTTCTAATTGGCGGCAGCATGCATGGCCCTCAGCCCTCCGGGCTGGATCTCCCATCTCGAACACAACTTGCTCCCCAACCTTAGACAGACTGATTTCTTTTCTTTGCTATAAATATTCCGGAAGCATGACAACCATCGCCGAGTTGTCCTGTGACTTTATGTTCTGGCCTCTGGGGAGACTTTCGTTTCCCCTATGACTCATCTATTTCTTTTTGCAGGAATAGATAAATACCTCTGGCCATTGACATTTCAAATATCCTTGTCTTTTGGCTCCCCATCAGTGGCCTCAGCTCATGTCCTACATTCTTCCTTTTCATTTTCTTCTTTTTGGGCAAGTTTGGTGACCAGAGCATTGCTGGTGGAGACACCCACAGTTTTTAGGAAAGTTTTCCCCCATTTTTTCCCCCAGTAGATCCAGCACATCATTTCTGATCAGCACACACACAGAGTAACTGGGATTCCTAATGGTGATGATGGCTTTCCAAACAGGAAAAGAAGAAGACGGTGACAGCCCACAAATTCCGCTCTTGGCTTTTGGGGCTACACACTCTTCCACTTAACAGGAATCTGTTCCTTTCCTTGGAAATGAGAATCACAAAGCATAAGCCTGAGGATGCCCTCAGAGTGGGTCTTGCGGAAGGATGTGTGTGCTGACCACAGTGGTACGTGGGGGATGGCAGAGGGAGGGAGGGGCGGAGCCGTGTGCTGACCGCAGGGAGCAAGTTATTAACCTCTCCACAAGGGATGCGGTTAGCACTGCTATTAAACAGCACTTTTCCTGCAGTAACATCACAGAGAACTGACCTCCAAGAGCTGAAGTTTACTAGTGTTTTCCACCCCAAAGCCCTCACTAAAGCTATAAATACCAGATTCCCTTGTCTTTGAAACACAGCCAGTTCTAGGTCCTTCTTAAGTCGCCCCAGGCGGTGCACACGACGCAGGCATGTGTGGTGAAAGGGGCCTTTATGAGCCGGCCTCTGCTGGAGGTCAGAGAGGAGGGTGAGCGGAATGTCCCGGAATGGCTGGCAAACAGCAGAGGCAGATATGGGGTCTAAGCTGCTTAGCGAGCCCTGCGGGGCTCGGTGCTGATCTCCTCCACGTGTGGGACTGCAGGCTGCCCGGCCACCTCAGCCTCGGCGCCGCCTCCACTGCCAGGCAGCGCGGCAGGGAGGAGGGGACCCCTCTGCGGGATCGCGAGGGGCCACTGTTCTCCAGCCCCCGGCAGGCTGGGCGCGCACATCCCTGATGCTGACCCGGGGGCCCCCCCAAGCCTGGGAGGTTTCCCTTCCTCCCAGACCATGCCCCAGGCTCCCCCTTGTGTTTAAGAATGAAGGTGGGGGGAGGGTATAGCTCAAGTGGTAGAGCGCATGTTTGCCTGCCCGAGGTTCTGGGTTCAATTCCCAGTACCTCCTCCAAAAGTAAATAACCCTAACTACTCCCCCCCCCCCCCACGCCAAAATTAAGAGATTAAATAACACAAAAATAAATGCATAAAATATTAATAAAAAAAAAAAGAATGTAAGTGACACACATGCCCTGAGCAAGACCCCAGGGCCAGCGGGTCATCCCACTTATCCACTATTGCTCCTTCAATAGCAAGTGTCCTTTAGGACTGACTATACCACACACTGCGCTGGGCTCTGCGGACAGAGCAGTAAAGACAGCCGTGGTCTCTGCCCTCCAAGCTGTACTTCCGGTCAGGGAGCAAACCACAGGAAGGTCGACAATCAGAAAGCAAGACAACTGCAGATCGTGAAAAGTTCTCTAAGTTAAAAAAAAAATTTAAAAGAAAGGAACAAGGAGGGGGCTGTGCTCCTTCTGCAGATCAGAGAAGGCTCTCCAGGAGCCAGGTGGGTGTAGGGGGCTTCCCAGCAGTGGGACCCTCAGTACAGGACGGGAGGAAGGGCTGGGAGCATCCTGGGAGCAGCAAGGAGGCCAGCAGCAAAGGGGAGAAGGACAGGAGATGAAACATGTGAGTCAGGGCAGGCTGTGCCCTCACAGGGCTGTGGCCCTAATGGGAAGCTGAAATTTATTACAAGACCCGGAGAAGCAATAGAAGGGTTTTTAAGCAATGATTAGGGTGATGCACTATGCTAGTGTGCGCGTGCGTGTGTGTGTGTTTTAAATCACTGTAGCCGCTTAATAGGGGTTGGGTTTAAAAGGCAAGAGTGAACTAAGGGAGGTCAGGTTAGAAGGGCATTGGACTAGCCCAAGGGAGAGATGATGGGAGCCTGGACCAGAGAGGTGAAGATGGAACTGGGGGAAAGTGGGCTGATTACAGGTCAGTTTCACAAGTAGAACCAACAGGACTTGGTGGCGAACTGAGACTGAGATAAAGGTAAGGACTCCACGGGGACTGCTGGGTTTTTCCTTAAGCACCTGGGTGGCTGATGGTGCAACTTTCTCATATGATAAAGCCTGGAGGTAGACATAGATCTTGGCAAAGCAGTAACTGGGGACAGGGCAGCTTCGGGAGGAAAGACGGGATATAAGCCAGCAGTGGCTCTCTGGGGGGAGTGCCTCTATCCACCCCACCCCAACGCTTCCCCATCCTCCCTTCCACCTGGCCTGAGTGGCTCCCCCCCGGGAAGCCTCTTCCCTTCCTTCTTCAGCACCCAACGCTCCTTCCCAGCATGCTGTGTCTTCAGGGTGAGGAGGGGACCTGTTGATTCCTGTGCATGTTGGTGTCACCTTCACTTGCTTCTTGACCCTTAGCTGTCAGCACACAGACAAACTAAACCATTCTGAGATCTGCCAGTGTAGGATGGAGAAGGAGGGAAAGAAATTGGGGCTAAGAGAGCTAATCCTGCATAGAAAAGGCCTCCAAGAAGAATCTAATTCGAAAAGATACATGCACCCAAATGTTCACAGCAGCGCTGTTTACAACAGCGAAGACGTGGAAGCAACTTAAACGTCCATCGACAAATGACTGGATAAAGAAGCTGTGGTATATTTATACCATAGAATACTACTCAGCCATAAAAAGAATGAGATAATGCCGTTTGCAGCCACATGGATGGACCTGGAGAAGATCATACTAAGAGGAGTAAGCCAGAAAGAGAACGTCAAATACCATATGATATCACTTATATGTGGAATCTAAAAAAAAAAGGCACATGTGAACTTATTTACGAAACAGAAGCAGATTCACAGACATAGAAAACAAACTTATCGTTACCAAAGGGGAAAGTGGGGAGGGATAAATTGGAACTTCACGATTTGCAGATACTAACTACTATATATAAAATAAATAAACAACAGGGTTCTACTGTACAGCACAGGGAACTATATTCAATATCTTGTAATAACCTATAATGATAAAGAACAGATATATATGTTTAACTCAAAATGCTATACACCAGGAACTAACACAGCATTATAAATCAACTACACTTCAATAATTTAAAAAATAAAATATTTTTTTAAAATTTTTAAATTTAGAGACAGAAAAGGCCTCCAAAAATATGGCCATCAGCAGAGTCAGTCCCACAAGCCCCAAGAAGTATGGAAAAGCCTCACCTTGGAACTGAGGAACATGGAGCCAGTGAAGGAGCAAGGTAAAGGCGCAGCCTCCTTGTGATTCTGAGCAGTGGTCTTATTGGAAGAACATTAATGAGCAGCCACAGGACAGGGGACAGAGTCCAACCTCAAAGGAAGAGGAAAGGAGGCAAGCAAGAGCTGGACAAGGAAAAAGTTGAGATACGCAGATTGGATCAACCCCTCCGAGGACAGGTATGCGGTCTCTTCTGATTCCAAAGGGCACCGCACCCCAGGCCACAAAAATGCCAGACCTGTCCATCATGGGTATCCAGCTCCTGCTCACCGAGTGCCCTCCGCGTGCCAGTGCCGTGGCCGACAGCAGCTTGGTGGGCTCAGCACTGCCCAGGAGATACGTACTTCAGCAGCCTCATTCTGTAGATGCGGACACAGCCTCAGGGCAGTGGCGGAGTTTGCTGGGGACCCAAAGCTGGGAAGTCAGGGAATCAGGAAGGGACCTCAGGTGTGTCTCCTTCCAGAATCCTCACCCCTCCCACCATAGCGTCTCACCTGCAGTCCCTGACACCTGTAACCCATTTCGGACACTCCAGGTGGGAAGCTCTGCCCCCCCAGACACCTACATGGGGCTACTTGTGGCTTTACCAATATCACAGCTTCATTTTGGTTCCCTTCTTCTGAGCCTTGTTGGGGACAGAATCCCAGAATGACCCGGCTTTATACTCTGACAGCTCCACTCTGTCAACTGGACAGTTAGAAATAGTGTCTGCCTCCTCCCCTCCCCCATGCCCATCCTCCCCTTTGAATCAGACCCTTTGATGCTTTATTGATGTAAAATATCTAGCATGTGTCTGGCACATGGTAGGCATTCAAAACATGTTAGTGGGGGAGGGTGTAGCTCAGTGGTAGAGCACGTGGTTAGCATGCATGAGGTCCTGGGTTCAATTCCCAGTACCTCCATTAAATAAATAAATAAATAAATAAATAAATAAATAAATAAATAAATAAACAAACCTAATTACCCGCAACCCCTAAAAAAAAATTAAAAAAACAATGTTAGCTTAGTCCCCTCTGTCCCATCCTAGTGTACGTAGCAGGAAGATAACTTGATCACATGGCAGCAATATATCCTGGATTTTCCAGGTCAGTCCCAAATTTAAATCATTTTATCCTTTTCAGAGAGGTAACATTTTAAATTTGTAATTACATGAAATTTAAGTTTTAGAGAAGGGTTTATTCAGGTTTTACGCCGCACAGAATTCTGTGATGGCCCCCAGGAACCCCTCCTCCCGCCCCTACTGCTTTTTATATGCCCTTGGGAATTCCCGGGACTGTATCTAAGAAGTTCCAGTCTCTTAATCAGTCATGGTTGATCTTAAAAGAAGGAGATTATCCAGGTGGGCTTGTCCTTTTCAAATGAGCCTTTTAAAAGTGGAGAGTTTTCTCTGGCTGGTGACAGAAGAGAAAGTCGGAGATTCGACTCACCTCTGCTGGCTTGAAGATGGAGAGGTCATGTGGCAGGAAGAAGAGGTGGCCTCTAGGAATGGCGAGATGACCCGTCTGACAGCCAGCAAGAAGACGGGGACCTCATTCCTACAGCCACAAGAAATGAAATGACAAGAATGAATTTTGAACAGATTTTTCTCCAGAGCATCCAGGGAAGAACTCAGCTGGCTGACTGAGTTGTGATACCCTGGACTGGGAACTCAGCCAGAGAGCACTGGACTTCTGCCACACAGAGCTGTCAGCTCGACAGGTGAGTTTGTGGTGATTTGCTCCAGCAATAGAAAACTAATACATATAACTTGTGTAAAATTAATTCACTTTTAAGTGATCAGCTCAGTGAGTTCTGATAAATTTATGAAGTCATGCAGCCGCCGTCTCAATCAACATAGAGAACATTCCAATCACTCCAAAACCTCCCTCTGTATTCAGTTCTCGTCCTCCGTCTCCAGTCCTGAACTACATGTTTTTTGTTCCTATTGTTTTTTGCCTTTTCTGGAATGTCATATAAATAGAACATTAAATAGATAGCTTTTTGTGTTTGATTTATTTCACTTAGCACAATGCTTTTGAGATTCCTCTGCATTGTTGCATGTATCAGTTCATTCTTTTATTGCTGAGTAATACTCTACTGTATGTATGTATCGTAATGTATCACTTCACCTACTGATGTAGGTTTGGACTGTTTTCGATTGTTGGCAGTGATGAATAAAGCTGCTATGAATATTTTTTAAGTACAGTCAGTTACAATGTGTCAGTTGCTGATGTACAGCACAATGTCCCAGTCATGCATATACATACATACATTCATTTTCATAAGGCTGCTCTGAATGTTTGCATGAAAGTCTTTGGGTAGACATTTATTTTTATTTCTCTTGGTAAATATCCAAGTATGGACTGTGTCACATATTTGTGTTTCACTTTTGAGAAACTGCCAAACTGTTTTCCAAAGTGGCTGTTCCATTTTGCATTCTTATCAGAAAAGGATGATCATCAACACTTCATACTGCCAGACATTTAAATTTTAACCATTCATGTGAGTATGCAGTAATCTCTCATGAGATTTTATCTTGTATTTCCCTGATGACTAACGTGAAGTTTCTTTTCATGTGCTTATTTGCCATCTGTGTATCTTCCTTGGTAAAGCGTACATGCAGGTCACTTGCTCATTTTTTGTTTTTTGTTTTTTGTTATTTTTTTGGAATGTTCTAGGTACATGTCCTCTATCAGCTATGCATTTTGCAAATATTTTCTTTCAGTCTGTGGCTTGTCTTTTCATTTCCTTAACAGTGTCATTTGAAGGGCAGACATTTTTAATTTTCATGAAGCCCAATTTATCAACTTCTTTTATGGTTTCTGGTTTCTCTGTCATATCTAAAAAAAAAATCTTTGCCTTAATAAAGGTCACAAAACTTTTCTTCTAAAGGTTTTACCACAGTAGCTCTTTATATCTAAGTTCATGTTCAATTTAAAATTAATGTATTGTAAATGATGCAAGGTAATGGCAAGGGTTTGTTTTTTGCAAATGAATATCTAGTGTTCCAGGACCACTTAGTAAAGGAGTATCCTTTCGTCATTGAATTGCCTTTGTATCTTTGTAAAAAAAATCAACTGAGTGTGTATGTGTGAATCTATTCTGTTCTATTTACCTTTATGTCTATTTTTAAGCCATACTTATTGTATTAATTATTGTAATATTATAGTAAGTCTTGAAATTAAGTACTGTGAGTCTTTCAACTACTTTTTTTTAAATCATTTTGGCTACTCTAGATCCTTGCATTTCCATATAAATTTTAGAGTCAGCTTGTCAACTTCTATGAAAAGAACCTTCAGAGATTTTGATTGGGATTGCACTGAACCTAGGGATTAATTTGGAAAGAAATGATGCCCTAACATTATTGAGTTTTCCAATCCATGAACACAGTATATCTCTCTGTTTAAGTCTGCTTTAACTTCTGTCCACAGTGTAAAAATCTTAATTTTATGGTTCTACAGTTTTCAGTGTTCTGCATATATTTTGCATACATATTTATACCTTTCATCTTTCATCTTTCATCAGACATTCAACTATAAATATATGTTTATGGTTTAGTTTCAAACTTGCATCTTTTGATTTGCACCACCAAGTACATTCTACCACCCTATTGATTTCCTATCTGAGCAGATAGTAAGTGGAGAGAGATAATGACATCATGGAGCCATGGCTCCTGCTGTTGTTAGGGAGAGGTAGCAGAGGGCCCCCCAATAGTGAGGCAATGGCCCATTAGCATGGTGGTTTGGGTGAGAGCAAAGGGGAAGCTGAAGCTTAGCAGCCTGAAGAGGTCAAGCCATGGGTAGAAATCAGCATCCAGGAATGAAAGGAGCAAAACCAAAGAACAGCCAAGGCGAGAACCCAACAGAAATGAGAGCAGAAGTGTCCACTTACACAAAGTCATTACCTCCATTATTTGAATAGGCACATGGGTCAACCCAATCTTATCTTTCTGAGCTCTTGTCTGAACTCCTATCTCTTCTGAAAAGAAAATATCACAATATCATCAGGGTAGAGGGGTGTTTTGTGGAACCCAAGGGCAGGAGTATAGCTGGGTCTCAGAAAACACGCAAGCTTGTGGGACCCTCAGAAGGCCCTCTCCTTTTGCTGTCTCTGCATTCTGCTTCATCCTTCACTCCATTTCTACTGCTTTTTCTAGGACCACAACATCTCCTTAACTTGGGTGTTGGAGGCCCATCCAGATTCTTTGTCTGGATTTCAATTCTACATTTCGGGAAGAAAAGGTTCTGACTGGCCTCATCCGGTCAGGTGCTGCCCTTGGACTAAATTGTGCCTAGGTTTGGGGTCAAGTTGTATTAGCACAGCTGGTGAGAACCTACCATGTGGGCTGGGGTCCATCCTTCAGTTTTACCAACTCCTAGGCCAGTCTGTGTTGTTGTAAGGCTCAGAGTAGATGATACATATGAAAATGTGATGTGAAAATGGAAGGTACTAT